TGATTTTTAATAGATTTATGTCTTTGTTTCTGTGTCTCTTGTAGACAGCATATTGATGGATCCTGAGTTTTTTATCCATTCTGCCACTGTCTGTCTCTTTTTGGGTGCATTTAGGCCATTTATATTCAGTGTAATTACTGATAGGGGTGAGTTTATTGCTGTCATTTTGTAGTGCTTTTTTTTTGTGGTGCTGACATTTTCGTTTCTGTTACTCTCCTGTGCTGAATTCCTTTTGTTTGTGAATCTTTTCCTTTGTTTTTGTAGATTTAGTTTTTTACTGAGGACTTTATGTTTTTCTTCTTTATTTTGATGAGTAGGTTTGTTAACTTTCTTTGCAGTTACCCTGAAATTTATCGGTATCTTCCCATGTTTGAATCAGTCTATTATCACTTGGTATCACCTTGCCTTTCTCTCCATTAGATGGTTCTATACCTACACCGTTTATTCCCTTTTTTGTTGTTCTGTGTTGCTGTCATTTACAGATTAACCTCTCCGGTTCCCTGTTGTAATTCTTTTGGTTTTGGATGGTCCTTGAGAGTTCATTTCCTAGATTGGTATCTGACTAGTATAATCCTGCATCCTAGCTTCAGCCTGTAGTCTGATGTTGTTTGTTCTCAGATCAAAGGACTCCCTTTAATAATTCCTGTAAGTCTAGTTTGGTTTTTACATAGTCCCTTAATTTCTGTTTTTCTGGAAATGTCCTAATGTCACCGTCATATTTGAATGAGAGTTCTACAGGATATATTATTCTTGGCTGGCAATTTTTGTCTCCCAAGGTTTTATATATGTCATTCCATTGCCTTCTTGCCTGCATGGTTTCTGCTGAATAATCCGAGTTGAGTCTTACTGTTTCACCTCTGTATGTGACTTGTTTTTCTCGAGCTGCTCTCAGGATTCTGTTTGTCTTTGGTTTTAGCGAGTGTGATTATGATATGGCTTGGTGATTTTCTTTTGGGGTCTATCCTATATGGGGCTTCGTTGAACTTCTTTGATGGTTTTTCCTCTTTCATGATATTGGGGAAGTTTTCTGTCAACAGTTCTTCAATGATCTTCTCTGTGTTTTCTGTTTTCTCCCCTAATTCCAGAACTCCGATCACTCACAAATTTTTCTTTTGATTGTATGCTTCATAATTCTCAGGGTTTCTTCAGTTTTCTTTGTTCTTTTTTCTGATTTTTCCTCAAACAGATGTTTATCCAAGTGTTTGTCTTCAATTTTGTTTATCCTGTCTTCCATCGTTTTATACCTGCTCCTCAGCCCTTCTATGACACTGTCCATTTCTGAAATCTTGTTGTTTACCTTTTGGATTTCTAATTGTTGTTTTTGTATGATTTCTAGTCGTGAATTTATTTTGGCATTTTGTTCCTCTATTATTTTCCTCAGTTCTTCCATTTTTTTGTCTGTACTTTCCATGAATTTGTCAATTTTTTTCATCATTTTGGTCTGCTTTTTGCTTCAACTCTTGGATAACTCTGAATATTAGAGATTTGAATTCCCTATTAGGTAGCTGTAGTGCCGCTTCTTCTACTGGAGTTATCTGGTGTTTTATTTTGGACACCTACTGGAACCATCCTGCCCTGTTTTTGTATATGTTTTGATACTGTTGGCTGTCTTCAGGACATGAGTAGTTATTTTTCTCATTTATGGATTGCAGATTTGTATGTTTCATCCTGCTTTTTTGTTTTATTTGGTTATGTCTGAGTAGGCAGGCTGTGTGTTCTTTGTTGTTTGCTCGTCTGTGGACACAATACTTTTCGCCTCATTCTCCAATGGGCAGGGTCAGTCGCTCAGGTATGGTACAGCAGGGCAGGTCCAGCTGAAGGGGCGTTGCTGGGATGGGTTATTTGTGGCACATACTAGGGCCGACATGGCAGGCGGGGAGTCAGTGCAGGACAGGTTCCGGTAAACCATGCCTGTGCTGCTTGAGGGTGTGATGTTCAGTGCATGGTGCACGTAGGCAGGAAGGAGGGGGGAGATTGTGATGTTTGGAGCTAAGATGGGTATGGGAAAGAGGAGACAGAGGAGAGAGGAACAGGAGCCAAAAACATACAAAAAAGAGTGCTAAGGGAGCTTGCCATTTGAGTGGAGGGATGTGAAACTGAGAAATGGAGAAAAACAAAAAGGAAAAAAAAGAAAAAGAAAAAAGGTAAGAGAAAAAAATGAATAAATAAAAATTAGGAGAAAAAAAAGAAAAGCAAAGCCCCCAGGATCCCACCAGTATGAGGACTGGGCAAGTTGCTTCCAGGTCATGAAGTACAGCCTGGATAGAAGGGGTAGAGGTGTCACACAGCGCCATGTATTCAGGAGACAGGAAGAGAAGGTAAGTATAGAGAGATGAAAAACAGAAATGAAGAAAGACAAAAAGGGAAAGAGAGAACAGAAAAAAAAAAAAAACAAGAAAAAAGAAATGCTCCCAGAGATCCCACTGCACGTCTGCGCAGACTGATGGAGTAGCTCCCAAGCTGCACAGTACTGGCCAGCTAGAAGAGGCTCTCAAGCCGAGAAACGAAAAATAAAACAGACAAACAAACAAATCAAAACAAACATATTAACAAAAGCCCTGGGGATCCCACCAGCATAGCGGCACAGGCTGGGAAGCAGTTCTACAGTTGAGCAGCGTTTTACAGCCTTTCAGGAAGAAGCAAAGATGGCACACGGAGCCAGGTATTTGAGAGAAAGGAGGAGGAGGTGGTGAGAGGTATGGAAGAAATCAAAGAAGCAGAAAAAAGCAACACTAGCAGCTAACAAATGGCACTCAGGGAGCTGGCCAGTGTGGGCAGGTGCAATCCAAGCAGCACCAGGGTGAAGCCGGTGCTTCCTAGCCAAGAGACTGTGGCTGCAGGAAGCAGAGAAGGCAGAGTGGGGGTGAAGAAGGGTAGGGGGTGGGGAAGTGTATACCGCTGGTTACGGGTTGTTCTGTCTCCTGCTGGAATCTCCGTGAAGCTGCTTTCCCATACCCACTGTTCGCTGATCTACTATAGGAGTCCAAGATGGCAGATCTGTGCTGCGGTAGCTGATAGGGGTCCTTTGCATATGTATCTCTCCTCGTTCTCTGTTCTCTGTCAGTTTCTTACTCCATTCAGTGCTTGGCTAAGTTCCTTATCTTTTCATTTGATGCTTAGGGTTTCAGGATTGACATTTGTGTCTGTCTGACTTAGTTTTTCAGATCTTTTCTGTGGAGAGATAGCATGGTGCTTCCGTCTATAGCACCATGTTGCTCAGAATTCCTGGACAATATTCTATTGTGATCCACAGGGTTTTCACTGGCTAATTTTCAGAAGTAGATCATCAAGCCTTTCTTCCTAGTCTGTCTTAGTGTGGAAGCTCCACTGAAACCTGTCCATCATGGCTGACCCTACTGGTATTTGAAATACTGGTGGCATAGCTTCCATCATCATAGCAACACAAAAGCCACCACAATATGACAAACTGACAGATGAGTGGTGGATTATTCCATTAGCTGTATGTCATCACTCTTTCCTTTAAGCCACCTCAAGCAAATCATTGTTCTGGGTAAATAAAAGGAAAAGTTGAACCTGGCAGGAACATGGCTGGGCATTTTCTTAGAGGCCTGTCAAGGGGTGACATTTTGCCGAAAAAAGTGAAGAAGAACAGTGGGTTGCTGCCCTTTGTCCAGCATCCCAGGAATTGCTCCGGCTTGAACTGCAAGGGTATTACAATCCTTTCTCCCGGGCCTCTCTCTTGTTCTATAACTACGTCATAGCAACATTTGGAACCCTCTGAGAGTAAGCGTGTACTATGAGATCCATTCATCTCAGGGGCATAGCAGTTCATGGGTCTAAAAATCCCTGTTTCTGACATGAATGACTGGTAGGGCCCCAAAGCACCACCCCATGTGTGAGTTTGTGGCATGACAAAGGTGATTACAGTTGGGTTACGAAACTGCTTGATTCCTTCCTGCCTCCCATGGTGTCTAAACACTACCACAGTTAGACAAAAGCTTTCAGATTATGTTATATAGAGTAAAGCCTGTGGAAGCCAGAACCTGTGTAAGGCAGAAACCTGTCAGAGAAGGAAAATTCAAATATTTTTCACTAATAGAGAGCAAAAGAAAAGTGGTAAGACTGCACCCTGTCAAAGGCAGAAAACTTGTGAGACCCGGGAAAACAAGGCAGTCTCCTCGAGTTCCAGCTTTCGCAGGTTTCAGTGTATTATTTTTGTCTGATGTGTGCTTATGCAGGAGCCCTGGTGGCGCAGTGGTTAAGAACTCAGCTGTTAACTAAAATGGTCAGCAGTTTAAATCCACCAACCACTCTTTGGAAATCCTATGGGACAGTTCTACTCTGTTCCATAGGGTCATTATGAGTCGGAATCAACTCAACGGCAACAAGTTTGAGGTTTTTGGTTTTTGTGCTTATGTATTATGTATATATGCATTAGCAGAAAAAAGTATATCAGCTAGAGAGAATGTCCATAAATAAAAGCTTCTGTTCTACCCAGACCTTTCTCTCTTTTGAACATTTAAAAGGATAGATAAAAACCCATTCACAGGTATACATGTGAAGTTTTGGGGGAAGAATTTTCAATTTTTAAGGAAAAAAAATTTTAAAAATACTTACATTTCTGTAAATACATTTCTATTAAATACAATTTTTCTTCATTTCTAAGACATCTATTTAAACATCAACTGTGTGTTTCTGGAATCTCCAATTCTAAAAACATCAAAGTATGAAAGAAACAGGCATTCTGCAATCGAAGAAATATGATGGCTAGCTTTTAGCCACTTCACATACAACAAATAATGGGAACCTCCTCCACCCCCAAACTCCTATGGTATTGTCAAATAAGAACCTAGCTCATGTCACAAAGGGGAATTACATTCAAAGTGTCTCCAGAAGGTGATCAGACATTACCTTATTTGACAGAGCTTTTAACACTCTGCTTCCTAGAAATCATGATCAAGATGAAATAGCATTTTTATACTCTATAAGGAGGAAATATTAGAATGACATTTATTTTCTTTGAAACTTAAGTAACGTACCTTCCCGGTAGCTGTTGAGCCAGTAAAGGAAATTTTGGATACCAGAGGATCAGTACAAAGAGCTTCCCCCACTTCCTTGGCCTTCTTTCTAGAACAGGGAACAACATTGTATACACCTGGAGGAATTCCAGCCTGCTTGGCAAGCTGTAAAGAGAAACAGCAAATACACAGCAAGCAACAAGTGATCAAACTGAAAACAAAGAGAGAAGGAACAAATAAGAAGTTTTAATCCAAAATGTAATGGAAAAAACTTTAGGCTGGACTTGGGGGCAGAGTTAGTACCTATATGGGACTGAAATAAGGTTTTTATTAGTGTTAGAGTGACATTAATGTTTGTGTTGTTAAATTTCATTAAAATAAAATTTCTTAGAGTATGAGTTTCAATGTCACCTTCGGTTAAAGAAAAAAACAAACAAAAAACTTGGAAGACACCATTTCATACCCACTAAGATGGCTATTATCAGAAAATAAGTTCACAAGGCTATGGAGAAACTGGAACCCTCATCCATTGCTGGTGGGAATATAAAAAGGTACAGCTGCTGTGGAAAACAGTTTGGTGGTTCCTTAAAAAGTGAAACAGAATTACCATATGATCCAGCAATTCTACTCTTAGGTATATACCCAAAAGAACTGAGAGCAGGAACTCAAACAGATAATTTTACTCCAATGTTCACTGCAGCATTATTCATAATAGCCAAAAGGTGGAAACAACCCAAGTGTCCATCAACAAATGAATGGTTAAACAGAATGTGGTATATACATAAAATTAAATATTCACGCATAAAGAGAAAGGAAGTTCTGATAAATGTTATGACAGAATGGATGAACCTTGAAAACATTATGCTGAGTGAGTTAAGTCAGATAACAAAAGGACAAATATTGTAGGATCCTATTTACATGAAATATCTAGAATAGGCCAATGTATAGAGACCAAAGTTTATTAGTGGTGATCAGGGGTTAGTGGACGGAGGTGGGTTAGGGGACAGAGGCGTAGGGAGTTATTGTTTAAGGAGTACTGATTTTCTGTCTGGGTTGAGGGAAAACATTTGGAAGTATATAGAGGTGACGGTTGCACAACATGTCACCGAATCGAACGTTTAAAATGGTTAAAATCACAAATTTTTTGTTATATATACTTTATAACAATAAAAAAAGTACAATGAAATCAAGACAATCTTAAGCAAATAAAACTTCAAACCAATGTAACAGCAACAAAAAGAAAAAAACTTGGATTTATTTCCCAAGCAGAATCAGAGGAGATTTCAAGAGAAAATTTATTTTGTTTTGTGGGTGGGAACAATCCAGCGACAGCTACAAGGCCTGTGTGGCACCAGCAGCTGTGTGTGAGGGGGATGAGGGCAAAAATAGGGTGTACGATGGACTCGGGAACAGAGGACTCCAAAGAGCCGGTTCACGGAAAGCACAGAGGCCAGTCTGAGAACACTGAGTGCAAGGGACTCTCCAATAAGGGCAGAGGGAATGGAGGGTCTGACCCCTGCCAATGGCGTGATGAAGGAAGACAAAGTCCAGGTAAAAGCGGGGGATAGGAACAGAGCCAGGGAACCTCAGAAAGCAAGTCGTCTTATTTTTTCCCATACAAAAATTTATACATACATTTTTGCACCAATGTTCATGCGGGATATCGGTCTGAAATTTTCTTTTTTGTGCTGTCTTTACCTGGTTTTGGTATCAGGGTTATGCTGGCTTCACAGAATGAGTTTGGAAGTATTCCATCCTTTTCTGTGCTCTGAAATACCTTTAGTAGTAGTGTGTTAACTCTTCTCTGAAAGTTTGCTAGAATTCTCCAGTGAAGCCATCCAGGCCAGGGCTTTTTTTTGTTGGGAGTTGTTTAATTACCTTTTCAATCTCTTCTTTTGTTATGGGTTTAGTTAGTTGTTCTACCTCTGTTTGTGTTAGTTAGGTAGGTAGTGAGTTTCTAGAAATTTGTCCATTTCCTCTAGGTTTTCAAATTTGTTAAGAGTACAATTGTTCATAGTATTCTGTTATGATTCTTTTAATTTCAGTTGGGTCTGTTGTGATATCACCCATCTCATTTCTTATATGGGTTGTCCGCTTCCTCTCCCGTTCTTCTGTCAGTTTGGCCAATGGTTTATCAATTTTGTTGATCTTCTCAAAGAACCAGCTTTCGGTCTTGTTACCTCTTTCAATTGTTTTTCTCTTCTCTATTTCATTTAATTCTGCTCTAATTCTTATTATTTCCTTTCTTCTGGTACCTGAGGGCTTCTTTTGCTGCTCTACTTGTTTGAGTTGTAGGATTAATGTTTTGATTATGACCCTTTCTTCTTTTTGGATGTGTGCATTTATTGCTATAAACTGACCTCTGAGCACTGCTTTTGCTGTGTCCCAAAGATTCTGCTAGGATGTGTTTTCATTCTCATTTGATTCTATGAATTTCTTTATTCCATCCTTAATTTCTTCTATAACCTAGTAATTTTTGAGCACGGTGTTGTTCAGTTTCCCTGTGTTTGATTTCTTTTCCTTGCTTTTTCTGTTGTTTATTTCTGCTTTTATGGCTTTATGGTCAGAAAAAATGCTTTGTTATATTTTGATGCTTTGGATTTTGTTAAGGCTTGCTTTATCGCCTAATATGTGGTCTATTCTGGAGAATGTGCCATGTGCACTGGAAAAGAAAGTATACTTGGCTGCTGTTGGGTGGAGTGTTTGGCATATGTCTATGAGATCAAGTTGGCTGATTGTAGCATTTAGCTCTTCTGTGTCTTTGCTGAGCTTCTTTCTGGATGTTCTGTCCTTCGCCAACAGTGGTGTGTTGAAGTCTCCTACTACTGTTGTAGAGCTGTCTCTTTTCAGTACTGTTAGAGTTTATGTATTTTGGAGCCCTGTTGTTGGGTGTGTAAACATTTATTATAGTTATGTCCTCCTGGTGTATTGAGCCTTTAATCATTATATAGGGTCCTTCCTTATCCTTTGTGGGGGATTTTACTTTAAAGTCTATTTTGTCAGAGATTAATATTGCCACTCCTGCTCTTTTCTGAGTGTTGTTTCCTTGATATATTTTTTTCCATCCTTTGAGTTTTAGTTTGTTTGTGTCTTTAAGTCTAAGGTGCGTCTCTTGTAGGCAGCATATAGATGGATCATGTTTTTTTATCCAATCTGCCACTCTCTGTCTCTTTATTGGTGCATTTAGTCCATTTACATTCAGCGTAATTATTGATAGGTATGAGTTTAGTGCCGTCATTTGGATGTCTTTTTTTGTGCATTGTTCAGTTTCTTTGTTCCACTTAATCTTCTGTGGTTTGCTGAGCCTTTATATTTTTCTAGTTTTTCATTTTGACTTCTAGGACTGTTAGTTTCCTTTGTGGTTACCTTAATATTTACCCCTATTTTTCTAACTTTATACTAGTCTTTTATTTCTTTATGTCACCTTGACTTCCTCTCCATATGAAAAATCTGTGTCTACATTTTGTAAGTCCCTCTTGTTTGTTTTAATGTCATCATCTTTTACATATTTACATCTGTTTTTCCTGTTTTCAGTGTTTTAGTTTTGATTTACTTTTGTGACTTCCCTATCTGGGCTGATATCTGGTTGCTCTGTCCTGTGTTCTAGTCTTGGGTTGTTATCTGATGTTACTGATTTTCTAACCAGAGGACTCCCTTTAGTATTTCTTGTAATTTTGGTTTGGTTTTTGCAAATTCCCTAAACTTCTGTTTATCTGGAAATGC